ACAACTCCTATGAGGAAACAATTGAGATTCTAACTCCTTAGCACACAGGACCTAAGAGCTGGCTAGACAACGAATCTCCCAGGTTTCCTTCCTAAGGAGTGGAACGGAAAGACAGTGACCAGTGGATTTTGATGATTCAAGCACAAAAAAAGGCCCAACTGTAGGAAGAAAAAAAAAAGCCTCATCCGCTGAGGAAATAACCACAAGGACAATTTCAGAACAACTATTTCAAGACATAAAATCAACTTCTTATTTGAAACAATTTGGAGACAAAATGTAGATAGCCTACACACAGGTAAAAAGATTTAAATACGGGATTGGGGAGAGGTTTTATTCTGAACTAACAGGATCTACATCATGCAGTTGTGGCCCAGGATTTCAATTTTATTTTTGTTCAGGCATTCATTCTAGAAAGAGAAAGAAGTTGATAAAGCAGAAGAAGAGTGAGAAAATTCCTTGAACTTACTCTTTTTCTTTTCTAGAAACCACTAATAAAATAGATTATGGTCAAGAAAACGGGAGTTTAGGGGGATGACTAGCGGGGAGAAGGATTCCCTAACTTAATTACATTTCCGCTTCTCCCCCTTTACTCTTGAGAAGAAAAACAAAGGTCAAACGGCACAAAGCACCAACTCAGAAACAAAACACACAGGGGCAAGCTCATTTTAAGGAAAAGAAAATAAACAGCACTAGTTTTTTTTTTCCTTAAATGGCTGGGAACAGTGGGACAAAAACAGATACTGCCAGAGTATTCCTGATTATAAAACACACAGATAAGAAGAAAAAACTCTCTTACGTTTGTTTAAATTCAACAAATGTACAGAAAGCAGGTACAATGTGTCAAGGATTTTCTGAAGCATCGTTTTCCATAATAAGAATTAAATTAGGAAAAAAGGTGGAGAAGGGAAAGGAGGTTTGCAACATTAGCCAGAACTTACAAGTAGAAAAAAGTGAGAAGTCAGGCAATCTACAGTCCTTCTGCAACTTTCTCCCCCAACTGACCAGGCAGGAAATCAAATACCTAATGTGGGAAACGTCCTGCCACCACACAGAAATCTTTCTCCCCAATACTTCCTACACAAAGAACCAACTTATTATTCATTCAACAAACATATACTGAGCATTTACTGCTACTGCCCCCTGTTTTAGCTATTTCAGGGGAATATAGAAGCTGAGGGCCCAACTCAGACATAGTGAACCTAAATCTCTAATTTTAAATCATACTTTTTAATGCTCCAGATGATTAGTAATAATCATCTATCTAATAATCATCCAGATCTGGAAACTCTTACTTTAGGAGATGCAAAAATGACTAAGACAGTTCTTGATTTCAAGGAGCCCAAACAAGTGATAGGCAAATATATGAATTTCTCCGAAACAAGGTTAAAAATGAAATATGATGTGAGAGGAACGAATTCCTTGCTGTGGGCATTCAGAGGTGGGAGAAATGATGGACTGTTGGCAGCTGCAGAGGGAGTGAAAGAGGGCCTCACAGAAATAGGTGTATTTGTGTTAGTATAGCTAACATTTGAATGTGAGAGAAGCAGGAGGAAAAATCTATTATTGTGACTAATAGTAAGAAGAAACACATCTCCAGTGTTTATTGAGAAATAGGCCCTGTCCTGGGCACTTTATGTAAAGGCTCTCTTAAACCTAATCTAAACCAATCAGGTAGATCCTGCTATTTCCCCATTTTGCGGATGGGGAAACTAAAGCTCACAAAGTTTAATTTGCTTATAGTCACACAGCTAGAGATCAAGGAGCTAAAGTTCAACCCCAGATCTACCCCATTCCAGAGCCTGCATGCCCCCCAAAGAAAAATAAACAAAGCCCAGATGTGCAAAAGAGTCAGCCTCATGAGACCAAGCATCCATTGTTCCCATTGGCTGCAAGGTGGCAGAGTAGGGGGAGATAGGGTGGGAAGGTGAAAGGGGACCCAGGCTGTGGATGAAGCATTCAACTATGTGGGCTTTATACAGTAGCAAGGGGAAACCACTGAAGGTTCTAAGCAAAGAATACTCCGATAGAACTCTATCTTAGGTTTTAGGCTGTGAATCATGAGTTATAGTCTACAATCCTAAATGATAAAAATCAAAGTTTGAAGAGTCTCGCCCTGCCTTTAAACAAAAAAGTGTGGGTAGGAGCTAAGTAGAATACAGCCCCATAGCTGTCCAGATGAATTTTCAACACACCAGTCCTTAAGGAAGATTCTACAGAACATATCTTCAGATAAATGTAGTGAGTGTCTATTACCCCACAGGACAAGGACCTGCTCAAACCTGGAGCTGTCCAAATCTGGCACAAGGATAGCCCTGAGGACTGCAGCCTTCCCTGAGACCTGAGGCAACCCCATGGGGCAGTGGGCACACACGGCAGGGGCAAGTAGGCAGAGCCCAGACTTCTAACTCCCTAAGCTCATCTTATCTAATCAAGTTGGCTCTGCCTCTAAATATGTGACACTGGGCAAGCCCTTGTCCCTCTCTGGATCTCCCTTCCCTCATCTGTGAAATGAGAAATTGAACTCACTAGGACTTGGATTTCATAATTCTCAATCCTTCTTCCCCTCCAACACATCAACATAAAGGATGCGCTTCCATCAGTGGCTCACTAACCAGGAGCGGGTGGAGGAGCAGCATCTCCCGAGAGCTTCTACAGTTTGTAAACCCTGAGCTGAGAATAACTGTAGCCCCTTATCTCTAGGATTGTATTAGAGGATGTACAATTCTCAAATCCTGGCTGCAAAGTCCTCAACAAATTCAATCTGGCCCAGGATTATCCTGCTCAAGTACAAACTGGATCACTGACGTCAAAAGTAACTCAGCAACACAAAGGACCATATCATATCCAGGCCCACACAGGGAACTCCTCATTCTAGCATCAGGTAATGAACACTTTAGCATCCACACCTGTCAGAGACCGAGGATGCTTTGTTATTATGTGAGAGTTTTGTTTTGCTTTTAAAGGATGGAGTCTGCAAGTCTGCGTGTGCGTGTGTTTATGAGTAAAACTACCAGGAAGCCAAGCAGAGACTAAAATTGTGGAGTTCTTGGGGAAAAGGAGGGAGGAACCACAATGTATCTTAACAGATGTTCACAAAGACACTCCTGCAAACTCCAACCACCAAAAATGAATTTCCAAAGGGATAACAATACTTCCCCCTTAAGAGATTATCCTACCTAGATCAAAAAACTTCGCCTGTTGGAGGAGAGGTGAATAGGGAGAAGATGCAAGACTTGTTCTGCTCTCAGAAACACTGCTGGTAAAACAGAAATTAGCACATGAATTCACATATTTTTGAAAGGACTTTTTAAACTCCATCCGTTCATCTGACCACACCCAGTAGTTCACCCACAGAGGTGCCCAGGAGTGACGAATTCCTGTAATCAATTCACTGCAAAAATTTGAGGTATGTTAAACCAACAGCTTCACCTTCTTTGACCTCCAACCAGGGGACAGGAGCAGGAGAATGACTAATAAACATTAACATTGACATTGAAGTGAGCTTAATTACACAAAGAAACCCACATTTTGAGAGTTACCTCATGGTTATTTATTTTTATAGGACTGAACATGAATATGCATTCCTTCTCCAGACCTAAGAAAGGAAAATCTACCCAAGATGTGAGACAGAACTATCAGCAGGACTGCCAACCTCACATCTGAGACGCCCAGGAAAACTGTGCTACAGGAACCAAACTCAACTACTCACGCTCTCCTCTGGGAACCAGCTTAGGACATCTGTCAGGTACTCAAGGTTCCCTTTCTGCCTACTATTGACTGATTTCTGCAAGACCGCCAAAAACTGTGCCACTCATTTAAAAGAAATAAGATTTACACTTAATACATGCCTTAGCAAATCCATGAGGAGGCACAAGCAAGTAGAAGACACATTCTGGAAAGGATTCAGGCTTTCTCCTTATTTCTTGCCCAAGATACTAGTCTAGTGAACTCCAGCACCCTAGCCCCAGCACTGGGAGTTAAGAGTTTGTCTCAGCTATGATTTCTTGAACTCTATCAACAACCACAAATCTCCAGAGAGCCCTAGCACCTGTGAGGGCAAAGACCTTGTGGGATGAGCGGCAGAAGGCATCTGGACATCTGCACATGCTGTGTCTTTTCGCCACTCCAGAAATGCAGCCTGCTCTGTTGGCTGGCACTACCAACCAACTCCCAAAGCACTACTTCTCCAACAGCTGTAGAAGAGACATTGATATACTGACATAGAAAGGCAGAGGGGGAAGAAAGTGTAAGTTCAGAGCACCATGGGCAAGTGAGAGGGGGGGAATTGAGGAACACAGGCTAATCTGCTGATGCGTCCAGATAGATCTTCAAATTGTGGAAGTGGGGAAAACGCCAATATACACTCCTGACACTAACTTCAGGCAATCTGAATACACAAAAATAAAATGAGAAGGAGAGTACTGGGTGTCTGAAGTCGACTAACCTGGTCCAATGCTCACCTCCAGAAATTGGATGCCTTCTATCAGAGGAGAAAAGGTCAGCGCTTTGGGTAGATACTTTTAGTGAGATTGCCTCACACAGTCACTTCTTCCATACATACCTTCTCTTTCACCTTTGATCTTTACTTCTTTGTAGGCAGGGTATAGGGGGGATGAGGGAGTGGAAGCGGAAGAGAAATGCGGGTGAGGCTAGACCAAGAACTGAAGCAAGAGAAGACTCTTATACTGGACTCAGTTCCGCCAAGGTCTCAGAAATTAGTGCCGAACGGGTACTTTAAACATCGTCTTTTCGGTACAGTCCTCTGTTTGAGAGAGAAGCTGCTGCAGAAAGAGCTAACGGCTTGCCCAGGGTCATCTAGTGTTAGTTACAGAGCTCGGGCCACCAAATATCTAGATCTACAAACACGAGGCAGAAACGATAAAGGAGACCCGATCTGAAAGGCTAACGAGCAGAACGAAGGCAAGGAGACAGGAGCGGTGGGGAAGGCTGCAGAGAGCATCCCGGGGCCGCACGGAGCCTTAGGTGTGCGCTCGGGGTACCTTGATGTAGGCCCGCTGCAGGTAGTTGTAGGGCACTCTGCGCTGGAAGTCGCTGCGCACATCCTCGCTGACGCGGTGGCGGGACGCGGGTCCCCCGAGGCGCTGGGACTCGCAGCTGCGGTAGCAGCGCGCCCGCTCGAGCACGGCGCGGAAGAAGGGCAGCTCGGCCCCGGGCCCGGCGCCGGGGGGCGCGAGCGGGCGACGCGCGGCGCAGTGGCGGGCGCAGCGGGCGCGGATCTCCTGCAGGCGCCGGTGGCTGCGCAGCGCCGCTTCCAGGTCGCGCACGGCTAGCTCGTAGTCCCCGCTGTAGTAGGCGGCCACGCCGCTGGCGTAGAGCAGGTCGAAGGGCTGCAGAGGCCCGGGCTCCAGCGCCGGGGGGCCGCCCCACAGCGGTGGCGGTAGCAGCAGCGGCAGCAGCAGCGGCAGCGGCGCCCAGATGCGCTCCCGCATCCTCCGCCGGGAGAAGCGCGGGACGGCCACGCTCCCAGTAGGCTCCGGGCACCTGGCGGCCGGGCCCCGTCTGCTACCTCCGTGGGCGAGAGCGCCAGCCCCGCCGCGATCCGGCTGCCCTGCGAGCCTCAGGTGACCGCGCGCTCCGCGCCCTGAGAGGCGGAGGCCGGGTCCGCCGGCCGCTCTTAAAGGGACGCCCACAGCTCACACGCTCCTCCTGCTGCCAGGGCTCCGCGAGCCGCTCGCTGGCGCTCAGCGCGCGCCCTGCAGGCTCCCGACCGCAGCCGCCGGGCTGCCAAGGGCTGCACACCCACGAGCCAGCCAGAGAGCGAGCGCCGCTGGAGGCCACGGGGGGCGTAGAGCTTTGCACGTGGGGATCCCTCTAGGTTGTAGAGTGGATATGATTACTCCTTTTTGAGAGAGAAAGAAAATCCAGCTTAGTGGGGTTAGGGCCCTAGTCATTTTCTAGATTTCGTCCATGACCTCGCAGTTTGCAGAGCCCTTCACCTTCAGAGGAAGCGCTGAAGCTCAATCAGGCTGTGAGGAAAGCACTGGAGGGCCGATCAGCTCAGCTACGGAAGCTTGAGGAGAAAAGTGCTTAGTCCAAGTTTACAGAACTGCGAAAAGGCAAAGGAAGGACTCACGCCTGAGCTATGGAGTCAAAGCTTATTGTTCCCTCCCTCGGGGATGGTCTCTCCCTTGCCTTCTCATCCTACTTTGTATGGGTGTGGGTCTGTGCATTGGAACAGGGGGTAGGCACATGCGAGGAGCAATAAATAGCCCGCCTTTCTGTGCAGACAGCAGTATTATAGGACCCAGAGAAGTGCTGGAGGAAGGAGCGACTCTTCTTACAGTTCTGCCTCCCTCGGTTTGCCAACCATGTGACCCTGTGCAACTTGAGCCTCAGTTTCCTCATCTACAACAGCCAAACGTTCCAACACGTCCAATGGTTTTCAGATATAAATTCTTATTGTAAGAGTTGAACAACGAGGCCATTTAATAAATCCAGTACCCCCAGGACTTAAGCAGTAAGCATCAATCTAGGAATGGGAAAGCTGACAGAAATGGCTGCCAGACTTCAATGGACTAGCTGGAGGCTTTCCTGTTCCTCTGCATCTCCTCTCTCAAAAATACATTTTGAGCCAAGGTGTTCCCTCTTTCCTGTTCCTTGGCTCCACGCTCTCCCATGGATTCCTGAGAGCTTACACACTGGACCCTCGACTCCAGCCTGCCTCCTGGAGGCATTCCTGTGGTCTCCTATTGCCTGTGGCAATTTCACCAAAGTCTCCCTGGCCACTGAGATGGTGAGCGAGAAGGAAGGGGAATTGGGAAGAACCACATGTATCATCTAGTTGATATGAAGTTCCCAATGAAGGCTTTTGTATGGAATCACCACTACATGGAAGAGGCTGCCAGAGTTTCCTTCTCATTCCTTCATTCATTCTGACCGTGAACAGCCCTGGCTGTATAATTCAAAGGGACACCAAAGAATCATGCTCTTATTATTTTTCTCCAGCAAACCTCACTCATTTGGCTCATCCCACTGATGGAAAAGCTCTAGTTTAGGGCTGACTGTGTACTGAATGCCTTGGATGTTCAGTGTTCCAGAATTTGCACTTGGGTCTCTGCCCAGATTTTTTCTCTGGGGATTGTCTCTATTTTCAGATAAAGACTTTGGGGTCCAGAGTTATCAATCCACTTGTGGAAGGTTTTGAAGCCTACTAGGCTAGGAAGTCCTGCTGTAGGAGTAAGGACAAAGTGCCAGGATGCTGTGGTATATTCCGTGACATTTTCACATTGTTTAATATATGTCAATTAAATTCTTATCTTTGGATACTTACTCTCAAAGTAGGTATTCTGGGGGATAGAAGAGATGAATAAGCCAGGGTCTTTATCCCTGGGAGTTCACAATGTTGTATAGAAGACAAATATGATGTACAGAACTATAATACAAGGTAGAATGTGGTAGGTGTTAGATTAGATTCAAAGTGCTATGGAAATACAGAGCCTGCAAAGATGGCTTCTGATGGAAGGATCCTGGAAACTTAGGGGAAGAATTGGCATTGGCACAGAGTGAAAGCTCACAGGCTGTATCCACACCAGAATTCCTGCTCATCCTCAAACTTGCCATGTGCTTTCAAATCTTCTACATGTCCTACTACCTTATGTTCCTCTGACTTTGCAGAAAGCATTCAGTTGACATCTTAAATTTGCTTGATCATTGGAATCACCTGAGAAGGTAAAAATACTGATATCTGGCTCTCACTCTGAGAGGTTCTGACTTAATTGGTCTTGGGTATGGCCTGAGCATTGAGACTTTTTAAAGTTGTCTAAGTGCTTCTAATATGAAGCCAAGATTGAGAACCACTCGTGTAGAGTCAATGCCACAGCCCAAAGGATAAATCTATGAGTCAGGGCTCCAGGTGCTATGGAGAATTCATGAGTCAGATGTACCATCCCTCAGATCTCACCTCCCCAAGAAGGACAATCTGATCTGCTTTTCTTTTTTTTTTTTTTTAAGATTTTATTTTTTCCTTTTTTCTCCCCAAAGCCCCCCCCGGTACATAGTTGTGTATTCTTCGTTGTGGGTTCTTCTAGTTGTGGCATGTGGGATGCTGCCTCAGTGTGGTCTGATGAGCAGTGCCATGTCCGCGCCCAGGATTCGAACTAACGAAACACTGGGCCACCTGCAGCGGAGCGCGCGAACTTAACCACTCAGCCACGGGGCCAGCCCCAATCTGATCTGCTTTTTAAGGCTGGATCAGAACAAAAGTTTATGACTATATTATGATAAGAGCCATACAGGGTGGAGAAGTTGATTCCAGGCAATGCTGTGCCCAATGATGTCAACTCTGTGTTAAGAGTGACAGTCTTCCTTGGGTCTCTCGTACTCCTGAACATCTTGCTGGGTATACCAGGAATGCCCTTCTTCTTTACCTGGGCCATTTCTTAGACAACTGGATCCCAGCTCAGAGTTTCTGATTCACTAAGTCTGGGATGTAGCCCCAAAATGTGCATTCCTAACAAGTTCCTTGGTGATGCTCAGGCTCTTGGTGTAAGAATCATACTTTGAGAACCTCTTCATCAATACAATTCCTTATAAACAGTGGTTCTCAAACTTTATTGTGTATGAAAAAACTAATAAACAAAAACAGAGGCCCTGGCTTTTGAAGTAGGACCAAGTCTGGGCCTTTATGTTTTTATCAGGTTCCCCTAAGGATTCTGATACTCAACAAAGTTTGAGAACCACTGCTTCGATTAGTAATTCTCCCCCGGGAGACGTCTGACAATGTCTGGAGACTTCGTTGTTTGTCACAACTTGAAGAGCGGAGTACAGACATTCTGCTGGTATCTAATAGATGGAGGCTGGGGATGGTGTCAACTATCCCTCAATGCACAGGACAGCCTCCCACAGCAAAGAATTATCCAGCCTATAGTATCAACAGTGCCCAAATTGAGGAACCCTGCGATAGAACATAATTTGAGCACTGCAAGTCTTGTCCAATTCCCGTATTTTACAAATGAGGAAATTGAGGCCCACAGCTCACATAGATAAGCAGTGGCAAGAATATATACTTAATTTTATGTATCAAAATATAAAGCATGTGCGCTAAATGTCATGGAGCACTGGACGATAGTAGCTTTGTGAATTTTTTTTAAAGGGAAAGAAAACAAAAATGCCTGAAAGTAAGAAAGAAAGAAATGATGATTTGAGAAAAGAAGACATTGGAAGCATAAGATGTTGAAATGTCTGCTAAGATAGGTATGAACTGAGAGCCTGCAATTTCACTTTTGTTCCCCATTCCTTACAGATTCAGAGAATAGCCAAAACACAAGAGAATCCATCCAAAAGTTTTAAAAGGGATTCAATCACTCCCTTTTTTATTATATTTGGAATAAATCATAACAGAAGCTTGAATTTCCTTTTGACTTCTGTTTACAAGTCAACAGCATCATCGCACCTATTTGCTTGAGGGAACCTCCAGCAGGAAAGAATTCAGAGAAGAGAAGATCTTCAGATGCTTCTTGTTTTCCCCGTATTAGCTTAGCTTTTTGAAAGCTGACTTCTCTCTTTCCTGCAAAATCCTTATGGAACAATAAAAAGTGTACTCAGACTTCAGCGGTAGACTTAATCGTTACTTTCGATAGGCAAGTCTAATACTAGTTTATTTTGATCACGTGTAACCAGGGCTCTTGCTTGCCTAGGACATCTTTGATTTGTTTGAAATGAAAGGAATAATTCTCACTATGCAAGAGCCCAGCCCTGTTCAGCTGCTGTTGATGCTGGCGACAAGGGAGCTGTTTTGAAGACTTTTTTTGTTACGCAGATAGAATCATCTGCAGACTTTTTTTTCCCTCCAAATAAATTAGTGTGAAAGGCAAGCCACCAGCAATCTGTCAACATAAGAGAGAGAGAGAAAAAGGACTCCCTGGAGAAGGTTTTTTTAGAAAAATTAATATTTAACTTACATTTAAAATCAAACAGGAGCTGCCACATTCCAGAACTTTCTGTTCCTTTTCAATTTCCTTAATAGCTCTGTCCTTGCACTTACCTTAATTCCTTACTGAGCTTTAAAATTCCAAATCAAACAAAGCTCTGCAAACATCGTGTCCCCACAGCCCTGTCATGGAGGCACTCTAATGTCATTCCTTGGGAGCCTCAGATTTTAGCTGAACAAGAAAAAAAGTGAAATAAAGAATGCTAAGTATTTCCAAAATAATTTAAGCTAAAAATCACTATTCAGATTGAAATCCAGAGAATTGAGAATATCCTATGTGTTGGGTATTATGCTAGCTTTTGTTTTTTTACAAACGTTTAGTCATTTAACTTGCAAGGGTCTCATTGAGTAAAGCGTTAGTACTGTCATATCACCAGTGAGAAAGCTGAGGCTTATAAAAGAGAAAAGACTTGGCCAAAGGTCAGTTTGCAAATTACAGGGCCAAGACTGAAGCCTTTTTAGTGCTTTTCCCATTGCACTAGCCTGCCTCTTTCTAGGCCTAACCTGTCTTCATAGCACCTGTCAAAATTCTGCTTTGAATTTTGACCACATTTTTTTCTTTCGTCACTGACTTTGTTTTATGTTCCTCATTCTGCTAGAGTCATAGACTCATAGAATTTTTTGCAGAATAAATATGGCCAAGGGATATGTGGGTGTGTAAAACCATATGTATTGGACACATGATCACAGTCTA